TCAAAAAAGCATGCAATCTAGTGTCCATCTGAATCCACTTTGTTATAAAGAACCTTGCCAGGACATCTGTTAAAACAGCAACACCAGCTGAGCGGTTTGTACCATGACTAAATAGAATAGTATCTCCCCATTGTTGTGACCAAAATCTAACATCTGACTCATTTGAATGAGTTTCCTGAAGAATACAATTTGCTTGTTGCCCGTTGCAGAATAAACAAAACTGCTTTACGCTTAACTGAGTCTTTAATTCCCCTTGTGTTAAAAGAAAGAAAAGAAAAATCATTTAACTGGAACGCTGAACCCATGAAAAAAGGATATTAGAAAGTTTTTGAGGTGGAGTAGAAAAAATATAGAAAAAGTCCCATTTCCACAACTTCCCACTATATCTTCATAACATCTTCCAGTATCTCAGCCTGTACCTGGAGTTTTCTCCATAACGCATTTGCCTTCTATGAAAGCAAAAGCAAAGCACCCCTGAAGCCAGCAGCCTTGCCTTCCTTCCTCGCCTGCTCGATTCTTGGCCACGTTGCTTGTCTGGATCTCCACTCCCCTTGAGTTAGGTCTTCAGTAAAGCAGATCCCTTCTTTGCACACACGAGAATCCTTCGTTCATCTCCAAATGTCATCTCTCACTGCTCCCAAACAGGATGATGATTTGCCTGCGTTTGTTCTCCATCACTCTCCCCACTCTGTGGACAACATCAACCTCCTCATCCATCTTCTCCTTCAGGTCCGGTGCAATCCGCCTTAGAAGCTCCACCACATCTGCTCTAATATTTTTCATTAATCTTCTCGTTTTTTCCTTTAATTCGAAGACACCACCGCCTTTTGTATCATTCTTGCTGCAGTAGTCGTTCTTTCATGTCCTTCTCTATTGTGAGTGAGCCAACCTGATTCTCTAGTTGTTTTATTTTCGACTTGCACTTGTCTAGCTCCTCAGAGTTATGCTGCACTGATTTACCGAGAGAAGCTTACATGGCACTGTGTTGTTGCATCTGTTGGCTAACTTCACCCATGCGGTCGTCAACACGTTTTCCAAGTGTTTCGATAGCTTGCAGTATGGTGTCAGTAGATTTGTTAGGAGTCCTCTTCCTGAGACGTACCTTTGGCCTTCTTTTCCATGTGTGTTTTTTCTGGAGTGCCTGCAGGAGTTGACGACATTCTGTCTCCCTTGTTGCTACTAGCATTAGCCGTTTCCATCGGGGTTGAATAGTCATGCTCCGTGGTTGTAGGTAGGATATTTTTCGCTGCAACAGTCTTGATGCTGTTGCTCTTCCTCATATTTGGCTGAACTTCCAAAATAAGTCAAGAAAAGTGGGATATTTAACTTCAGAACTAAAACATTGGGACTTTAAGAACTCAAGAGAAATGTGTTTGCTCAGTCCGCCATTTTCCCCAGAACCTACTCCTCTCTTTCTACAGCTCTGGGGAGGCCTGGCTCTTCCGGTGCATCAACTTGTGGCGGAATGGGTCGGTACTAAGCAGAATTTTAAAGCCAAATGTGGCGAAATGGGTCGGTACTGAGCAGAATATTAAAAAGTTATGATCCTGCCAACAACGCCAAATGTGGCGGAGCTCGTGGTAGGGTGCCTTCTTTATGAAGCTTGTCCCTTCAACCTTGATTATTTACTACCCAGACTGGGAGAACACACAACAACGCCACCTTGGGAATTTCACCCAAGGAAATAAAATTAGATACCTCTAGGCACACGTAGGTTCATGCTCCAAAGAGGTGGCAGAAACGAGGTTACAAAAAGTTCTAATTTATTAAACACTATGTTTAATAAAAGACAGTTTCAAAAGTCATTTAAAAATACTAATTTAAAAAAAGGGTAATTTAAACAAAGAAAATAACTAGTGTCACATGGCTGGAGCTTACCAAGGTGTAGTGGGACCACTGAAGGTTTTAGCTAAATAAGAAAAAACTACAAAAATCACCCAAAGCACTAGTGAGCAGTCACGCAGATGTGAAAGGAACCAACACCAGCTTGCACACAGCAAACACCACCAGAGAACCACCACCACCACCCTTGGCTCCAGTCTGGATAAAACAGAGGTTAGAAAACTATTAAATGAACACTGTTAATATAAAATAGTGCTCCAGAGTCCTCATGGGCCGGGGGAGAGGGGATCTCTCCCTCCACTCCAACCGGCACGCTGGGTGGAAAACGTCTGGCGAAGGAGCACTACTAATTGTCCAATCCTTGGCTGCGCTCCAAGTGAGCGGCAACCCAATCGCTCCAGGTTGGTCGGTCAGCTCCGTTGACCCGCTCCTCGGTTGTTTGGGGGTCACGGCAGTGACTCAAAACAATGTTTCACAAGCACCACAACACCTCGGGTCCTAAAAGGTAATAAACCTTGTTAACCCATTTCTTTTCAGAAGAAACTGACATTTTTTTTTTTGTTTACACACTTAATTGTATAGTGACTATGAACTCTGTAACGAAGGATTGGGTATCTGGGTTTGAGGTTGAATACTGGATATCGATGGACTATGATACGAAACAATGAACATGAGGTCACCATTCTGTTGTATTTTATTTTCAGTCTTTATTGGTGTGATTAACTCCTTTCCCGATATTAGTTGATATATGTAATTTGTTCTAGATATGTGATTTCATCTTGAGCTACTGGGATTATGTGAATTAGGGATGTGTGTGTGTGAGTGTGTGTGCGGGTATTATCTTACATAAGCAATTGTATGAAAATGTACGAGACCCCAGGAAGACTAGCATCTGCATTTAGGCAGAAGCTAATGAGGATCTCAATAAAACGAAATGAAACGAAACCCCAGAAAATCAGAAAATAGTCATGACTGAGCGTGCAGGGGGGGGGGGGGGGGGGTGCTGCACATACATACCACTCCAACAGTAGGTCACACTAGAAGGTAGACACGCTTCCCGTCAAACAGCACGCAGGTAAATTTACAACTCTCTTATGGAGCTTCCAAATATTGTCTCTGTCTGCATACCAGCCTGTATTAGTTGTCACTAATCTGCTTTTAACAGCTGATCAGAGTACTCACTGCGATCCAACACACATCCAGCTTACACTGCTACTGTCCAAAGTGCAGCTACTTCCGTGAGCAATGAAAGAAACACTGACTGGGTCTGCTTTTTATGCCCACAGCTCCCCTACTGGTGACAGACGGGGTCAGGTGTTCTTTATTATAATCAGGAGCAGGTTACCTCATCCTGCTACAAACCCCAAAATTTTTTCGTCTCAGATGTTCATTTAGAGAAGTCGTGCTTCCGTGCCATGCTAGATCGTTTTTGCATCTTGCAGGTCACCTGTCTTTTCACGGCATCTAGAGTGAAGTGTTCCCATACTTTTGATAGGGATGACCCCGACCGTTCCGAAATTAATATCAGATCAAAAAAACTCTTAACGGATTATACGCATTGGACTGCATCAAAAATCTCAATATCAACAGTCCATTCAGCTTTAAGTTCCATTCCAGCAATTATTTCCAGTAGCGCCCAGATCCAGCATGCATAGTCCACGTGATCAGAACAGTGTGTGCTATAGTGATGTGTCGGTCGCGAACGAACTGGCTCTAAGAGCCGGCTCTTTGAAGTGAATGACGGGAGCTGGCTCATCATTGGGAGCCGTCCCCTCCCCTCCCCCCCTGCTTTGGTGAAAGCTACAGGTGATTGGTCAACATGTGTAACTGTGTGTCCAGACTGTCCACACACAGAGCAGTAGGGGCGGGGAGGAGGGAGGATCAGACTCAGACACACAGCAGAGCACATGTGGGTGGAGGGAGACGAGAGGGAATGAGGAGGAGGAAAAAGGCGAGCGAGAGGGAGCAGAGTGCGACAAAGACGGTGAGAAAATGAGCGCCAGCAGTCGGAAAGTGGAGATTTCTTAAAGTGTTCAGTTATTAAATCCATAGAAATGATAAACATTTGATAGATTGCTTTTTTATTTACATTAGTAAATTATTTTACATATGTTTAGCATTATTTTGGTTATAAATGCACTCTACTCAACAGAAAATCTGAGGAGCCACTTTGGTGAGCTGAGCCAAAAGAACCGGCTCTCTAAAAAGAGCCGTAATTCCCATCACTAGTGTGCTAGCAAAATAGCAATGAACAATGTTGGCCATATGGTAGTATTTTTCGTTAAAATCCAATAAATAAATAAACAGTTTAGCTCAGTGCAGCACTTGTCATGCACAAGTTTCCTGTGGTGGAACAGAACCGCAGAAGTTTAATACGTCCAACCTCATCGTGCAGGAACACAAAACATTGCATGAGGATTTTTGCAGTGTGTGAAAGGGAAACTTTAGACACTCAACTTGTGGCGGTTGGTCAGTAAACAAACTTGTTTTTTTTTTTCCTTATCTGCCTAACCTCAGCTGTTCACATTTATGCAACCAAAGGTTGATAAAAAAATGGTCAGGTTTTTATACTAACTGTTGCTGGCTTTTGTTTTCTGTTTGAGTAATATCCCTTGATCAAGCCTTTCATAAATTCCATAGGTAAAAATATGTATGATTTGTGCTGATATATCGGATTGGTACCGTATCATAAGTGAAAAAGTTGTACTGGGACATCCCTAACTTTTGATGTTTTTGTTAGGTTTTTTCTCCTGTACCCTTTCTTGCTCCGCCATCTTCCTCAGTGTGAGCATGCACGTCAGCCATGTATGTCATGAAAAACAAGGCTACCTTTTGACTGATTTCTTCTTCTAATGCTCCACTGGTAGATCGGTGGCTCATTACTGCCACATGCTGGCCACAAATTTAACAGATTGCAACCAATGTAACAGATTAACAACTAATCGATGAGTAAATAAATTGTCAACTATTTTAATAATCAATTACAATTATCGATTACAATCAGTTAAATTGATTAGTTGTTTCAGCTCCAGTTGAATGCTACATTATTAATAAAACTTCTGAACTCTTAACACCAAGGTAATTCTTATTTTCTTAAATGAAGACTACTGTTAGCAATACCATTTCAGCCAAAAAGCATAGACAATGACAAACACAAATTGTGATTGTGACATTTATTTCTGTGCCACACATTTACAGAGAAACACATTTTCAAAATAAAATACACTATGAAAAATCAAACGAGGCCTGAAAGAAAAATAATCAAAATCAGATCTAAGCAACTGGACAGTTTTGTCTTGTAAACAAAGAAAAATAAATGCACAGAGTGGGTTAAGAGTTGTTTTTCTCTCTGCCCTATTTTAATAGTCGACTCTCGTCCACATTAAATGTAATCACAGCGGTCCCATTAACTTTGGTGCGAGGCTCAATTTGAGAGTCCAGACTGTAGGTCCATTGCTTCCTAATGTGCTCACTAATAACCAATCAGGTTATGGTATATAAACCGTAGCCAGGCTGTAATTGGTCATGTGGATTTTAATTTACTCTGTTCAAATCAAATGAGACGGTTTTATTATAACTGAGAAACGATTTCATTATCTTATAAAGATCCACAAAGGACATTTAAGAAATAAAATTTTGGAAAAAAGAGATCATCTCTTAACACACATACACTACAAACAGAATATTTTTCAACCCCGTATTCAAACAGAAAAAAATTTCATTACATCAGAACAAAAACAAGCTAATGCCAAAGTTTCCTATAACAGACAGCAGTGGAGTTCAGGTCTATAGAGTTCCTCAGTGTGACGAGAAATTACAGCTACAACAAATCAACTGCAAATCAAACTGTATGAAGAATCATAGTAGAAGAAAACATACAGCTTATACCACCTTTATATTGAACAGAATTAATAAGCAACATTCAATTGTTTGTTTTAAATACAAAAACTGCATTCAAAGTAAGATAAAGAGGTTCTGGATATGTGACGGTAAAGCGCGAAGGTTCTCTTTTTTCACTTCGGAATGTTTTTGTCACAAAATTAAATTAGAACAAAAAAATTAATCACTTTCATTTGCATGAGTTACTGTGCCGGGAAGTTCACAGAATTCCTATGATGGGGTTCATTGGCACTTAAGAGCCAGTCAACACTGGGAAGTACTGTGAGCATGTGTAAAATAAACTGGACATAGTTCTGTTTATAATAATAACCGACAGTGGTACATGTTATTTTAGTTTTAGGATGATATTTTAAGGTGCTTTATTGGACTTGATTAGTCCAGATTTAAAAAAAGGCATCAAAATCTTTTCATAATTCAGAATTTGCATTATTTTTGAAGTATAAAAAAACAGCAGTACTATATAGAATTTGATCATTCAACTCAATTATCAAGTTCAAATAATTTTTATTCTTCTCTTTTTTTTCTTAAGAAAGACTGATCACTTGGGACATCCCCTCCATCAACGAGTAAAGAATGTAAAGCAACGTCAGGAACATCAGGATATTTGTGCACGAACTCGATACCGTGCATAATACACAGGCAAACACGTTATCTTCATCCCATCTTCATGTTAAACCTCCGATGTGATTACTTATGTTCATCCAAGAGAAAAGAAAACACTGAGAGCAGACAGTTTACACTGCATGGAATTACTTGTCAGCTCTATGCAACCACAAGAAGCATGCTGTAGAAATGTCACATTAAAAGGTGCCCTGTAGAAAATATGTGAACCAGTCTGGTCTTTTCCAGTGATCTCTTTTAACAGGAAGGTATAAAACAAATCAGAGACCGTTATTTAAATCATGATTTATGCACAAAAGACTTCCTCTTTAGCTAAAAAATGGGAGAATGTGGCCCTTTTAGCTGCTTTCAGCGTAATTAAATCACCAGATCCTGACACAAGGTTAAAGCTTCTAAAAAAAACAAAAAAAAGTGCAATACAAATTTTCCTCACGGTGTGATTTATATTGGAACACGTACAGTAAGAACTTGTTTGCACATGAGTGCGTTTCTGCAGAAAATCTGACGAGGTAAAATCTGAAATTTCAAAACTAGTTTTTGAATCTATACCTATTTATTCTACATTTTAATATACAAATCATGAAACAAAAACTACACTTGTGACAACCATAACATTATTATCCGATATGATCTATGACATCTCTTTCCAATACAGTGTCGCCATCGAGATCGAGTGATAATAATGCTACATTTGCACTGAAAAGTGTGGAGAGAAGAATTTCAGCAGGCAGTGCACTCATTAAGGGTGGAAACCAAGTGAATCAGTCATTTCTCTCTGTAGTACAGCAAATATGCTTTCAGCGACTCCGGCAGTGGGAGAGCCAATATTTGTTCTCTCAACACGTTCACTTGCTTGATGATTTCAATGTCGCCAATGTCTCTTTCCTCCTCCTCCTCGACCTCCTTGTGCTCCTCCTCAGCGTGTTCCTCCTCTTCACTCTCCACCATTTGGGGTATGAGCTGATTGCCTACAAAAACATAAGTGTTGATGCGTCGCCGCCGGCAGCGCCTGCGCTTACGCTTCTGGGGGACCCGTTGCACCGTCCCTTTGCCCTGGCTGTCCTGGCTGGTCAGGCTTCTGAGAGTGCGGCGGATGTAGATGCGGGAAAGGTCCTGAAGGCTGTGGACGGTCACCGGGGCTGAGGACAAAACAAGAGACGACATAGTCCTCCAGGGCAATGTGCCACAGAAAGGAGAAGAATCCACACCGCTACAATGCTCCCTCAACTAGGTCAGTGTAAACAAGTGAGGATGTGACAGAAAGTGGAGACTCTGTTTCAAGACAAGAGATAACTCGCTCTCTAAAGCAGCCGCCAGAAGAACAAAACGTGTAGAGCAACTCATTCTGCTTCAGGAATCTTCTCGTCAAATCATTTTCAGCTACTAAAAAATATCACCCGTTTTATGCTCAGAGACTGGTTTGATATGAGATGACGAGGATGTAACTTACGAAGCTGGACAGTGTCTGGCTTCTCTCTGTCAGCCTCGTTCTGCCGCATCAAGGGGGCAAAGGACACCGCCAAGATGTTTTTGCTCTCCCATGTGCTTTGACCGGTCCTGGTTATCTGGGTCAGCTGCAAAAACAGGCAAAAAATTAGGGCTGCACAATATATCGAAAAATTATCGTCATCGCGATAACAGGACGTGCAATAGGCCCATCGCAAAGCACGTCAAAAATGGCGATAAATGTTTGGTTCAAACATTTCTATCCGTGTCATAAATCAACTTTTTGTAAACCAGCTGTTTTTTTACGCGGAAGTATTATTTGACCAATCAAATGTAGCCCTTCTGACATGCCTCCAATCAGATGGGTCCATTCACATAATACACCCGCCCCCTACGTAGACCCTTACCCCAAAATTCCACTACTATCTCCGCTCCGCCCCCGCTTTCCGCTGCCGCTCGCTTCCCTTGTTCGTCATGCTGGCTCAGAGCAACGAACGCAATTTGTGCTGAGGTTTCTGGAATCAGCGCTGCTTTCAAACGTGAACGTGAGTCCGCTCGGTGTCGTTAAGCAGCTGATAATAACCGGGCTGACTTCGACACGTGCCGGTGAACCAACCCACCCACCTTCATGTCCCTAGTGTTCCACTGGGTGGTGATGTTAGCCCCAGGCTCCGGTTAGCTTCCAGCTAAAAGGCTACAGCACTCTCCTCCCAGTCCCACCCTGCTAAAGAGGGCCTGGAAAAGTTCCCCCACACATCAAAGTGATTTTTCATTTATGAGCTTTTATAACCTTGTTAATGAGGATAGTTGATTTGCTGCTGCACATAAACTGTCAGTCAGAAGCTCTGCTAGCCGGTTATCTTAAGAGGAGCTAGTTCAATTTGTTAGCTTGTTATCAGAATCATAGTTGCAGTTTCATCATCTGAGCTGCTTTTTAAGATCTAGGTAAACTTGTTCAATTTGGGGTTAAAAACAAACGTTTTCACATATTTTCCATGTAGTTTTTTTGCGAGTTCCTCTTCTGTAAGGTACATTGTTTTTCTCTTTCCCTCAGAAAATCTTAATTTTCTCCGAGTTTGGCCCAGCACAGTTCACATTCTAATTGCAGCAACAGCCTTATATCATAACCACATAAGTGGAGAAAATGTTCAGTAACAATGAGAGAATTTGCTGTTGCATTAAGTGATGTTAACTATTATTTAACATTTAAACTTATTTTCTGATTTTTTTTTATTTATTCAAAAAACCCTGGTAAGGGATGTTTTTCTGTATTTGGAGCATCAGAAAAAGTTTTATGGTGGTGGTGATGTTTTAAAGTCACTGAAAAACTGCATGCATGCAGTTTGTTGTTTTGCTGCTAATACAGTAGCAGGTGCAGCTGCATGTTTATGCAATAAAAATGCTATGTTGTAATGGAATTCATGCATTAGTTTTTGTTTGCTTTGAATCCAGAGCAGGCATCACACGCCAGACGACATCAACACTGCATACTTTAGTATTTGTTCATTTATCGCAAGTAATATCGATATCGCAATATTAAGCACTGTTATCGAATATCGCAGGTTTTTCTAATATCGTGCAGCCCTACAAAAAAAAAATATATATATATATATATATACACATCTGAACTGAGCACTAAAGAAAATACAAAGTGATCATATCTATCACATAACTAAAGCTAAGCAGCAGGACAATAAAAATAATTTGTTTTCATTTTCATGTTGATTAACTTTCATGTTTTAGCACAAATTTTCATCCATCTTCAGTCCGTTTGCTGTGTTTAATTACACCACCCACATAGGGGAATCTCTGTGCATTCCTGACGTTGACACATTCCAACAATAGTGATTAAAAAAGACTCACCCAACACTGGAACAGCTACTCAGTATTGAAACTTGTTTAATATAAATCTGGGTTATTTGCGGTGATCATGGAAAACACTTATAGGCAACAAAATAATACTTTTAGTTTGCAAAATGATTACAAAGAGACAAAGTCGTGACATTAAGCTGAACCATTAGTCACCATTATTACATTCAACAAGGCTTTCACAAATAGACAGCAGGACAGGACTTTCATAATAACTCAAAAGCCAAAGTTTTAATAGGACCCTGTGCAGCATACCAAATAAACTTTAGAAATGTAATTTCCTGATATTTTTGTACATATTTTGTTGTAAGGCAAAGCCTGCTGGTTTTACAAGCATCAATGTTTAGTTCACGTGGGATCTGTCAATGAATTTAAAAGTGCAATAGTAAAAATGAAGTAAGAAAGAAATCATGTGTTCAAATTTAGGTACTGCTGTCCATTTTATAAACAAAATGTTCCTATCTCACTTTTGTTTTGTGAGTTTCATGGCTGTTGCCAGATAAGTACCAGAAGATTTTAGATGAGTCATAGACATTAAGTTGATAATGTGCTAGGGAGGTAGAGCGGGTTGTTTCATGATCAGAGGGTCATGGGTTTGAGTCCAGCTCCTGCCAGGGGTATTCTGCTGTTGTGTCCTTGGGCAAGACACTTCACCCAATTTGCCTGTGTTGGTAGTGGTCAGAGGGGCCAACGGTGCCAAATGGCAGCCTCGCCTCTGTCAGACCGTCCCAGGGAGGCTGTGGCTACATAGTAGTAGCTTACCATCACTAGCAGTGTGTGAATGTGAGAGTGCATGAAAGCATCTTTGAGTGTCCAAAAAGCGCTATATAAGTTTGATGTATTATTATTATTGTATATGTATTGTCATATCTGGTGTTAGCATACTTAGGTGCTTTAAGGTAGGTAGCACTTACTACACTTATTATGGTAGTATGCCTTCAGCATTAGAGGAAGTGTGGTTGTTTGCTGTCTTGTTGTTAACTTGTTCTTATAGTTCTGAACAACTCATTTATTAATATTAATGGATTAGATTTATAGCGTTTTTCTAGGCACTCAAAGCGCTTTCCATTATTCATGCACCCTCACATTTACACACTGCCGGTGATGGTAAGGTAGTGTGTGGCCACAGTCGCCCTGGGGCGATCTGACAGAGGCGAGGATGCCCACCACCAACACAAGCAAGTTGGGTAAATTGTCTTGCCCAAGGACACAGCACCAGGGTACCCCTAGCAGGAGCTGGAATTGTTCCCACAATCCTCCAATCACAATGCAACCCGCTCTACTTCCTGCTGCATTTTACTTCCTTTAGAGGGAGTAAAACGCCCCGATTGACTTGTTATTCACTTCAAACATACATTTCACTATAATATTGAGTAGTCGGTAAATGAAAAAGTAGCTTGAAATATTTTGTGAGCAGACTATTTGCATCTAAATCACTGTTAGCTCAACATTAGCCTCTAGCCTGCTTCACACTACATTAGAGTAAAACAAAAAGATGCCAAGGCTTCTTAGGGGTATAAGAAATAACTTCTGGGTCGCTCCTGTTTACTGGCTTCAGTTGTTTAAACAACTCTGGAGGTTTTTGCTTGTCGGTGTCAAATTACAAATGTTGGCACTGTAGCTTAAGATCGGAGCAGATTCGGCAACTTCACATATTGTAAACAGTAACTACGTACCTCTTTAGTTTTTTGAAATGAGAAAAACTGACAACCTAAAACTCCTAATTTCTGATAAATTGATACCAATATATTGGATATCCTTTATCAATTCAGTGTGATGAATTAATAATTAAGGTAAATGAAAATCTCCATTTTTTGGGGGGTGATTTGTGTTTTCAGCTGAGTTAAAGACTCGTACAATGTAATAGTTTATCTTTCCCTTCTGACATTGTGCACATGAGTGATTCTGAATTTTTCTTTTCTTTAAATGTCCAAACAAGAAAATAGTTAATTACCGTACACTATTGATCATCAAACCAACCAATCACACAATTAAAATGTCATTTGTTGATCGGTAAAACAATGTAGAATATAGGAGTATAATTAGAGATCTTTTATTCAAGTAAAACACAGAGAGATCTGTAACCTGTTCCATTGGCCTGAGAATCACACCCACAACCCTGAGTTGTAGATGACCAAGTCTGCCTCTTCTACCCAGTTATTTCCACTGATTGTGTCCCTGATGGCCCACGACACGTCCATTATCACCAGCTGACAGTGAAGATACCATGTCAGTTCGTAATGACACCCATGTGTGATTCTTTACACTGACATTTTCAGAAATGAAAAGAGGGACGTACAGATGTTGTTTGGAGATGTAGTAATCGAACTGTCTCTGAAGACTGTCCCTCAGACGGCACATCAGCATTGTTACAAAGACCTGCACTCCCTCTCCTTTCAGGGCACCGCATCATATTTGTCCACTCTGGAGTCATTTCTAAAAGCTCTGGAGGGAGATGGAGAAGATGAATATGTCTGCTTGGTGCTGATAAAAGGCCCAGATGAAGAAAGATGCGTTTAGAAAATGATCCCCATTACCATGGACACGGCTCGTGTAAATTTCTGTTGTGATGCTTTCAAAGCTTTTAGGTCTTACAAAGATCCTCACTTTAAAATTAGATTTAATGACTTTATCGATGCTCACAAAGCATGCGGGCTGCTTTTATTCTCAGTAATGCTGTGTAGTTCCTTTGAAAATATTAAACCAATTGATTTACTCTAAATATCTTGTACACCCCTGGTGGTTCTGGAAGTGAAACACAATACCTGCTTTAATCAAATACAAGTGTTTTTCCTCCTTTACTTCAGCTTCCTTTAAGTTGTTCAAAAGCGTTGAGATCATGAACTTGTCATGATCATTTCCTTATCTTCCCACCACTACACAAAACACCATCAGTGTCCTTTTAAATAGCCCACAGTGTGTCCACATGCACACATCTAGCATTTTAAATATTATTTATGCAGTGCCGTGTGCGCTCCGAACACAGCTGCTTAAATCCAGGGGCAGTCGAGGCTCAATAATGCATGGCAGCGTTGCGTAACCAGTCTTGCGGGTCAAAGCTATTCTACCTTGTTTTTCTCCCATGTTTTTTGAATTTTGAATAGCAATCAGGACGCGCGTCTGATCCGCATCGGCCCAATAGCTTGTGGCACTTACCTGATCCTCTATAGGCATCACCAGTATGCCTCCAATTTTGAGCAGAACCTTCATGTAATTTTCATGGTCTTTCTGCACTCCGGCGCCACAATAAATGCGGTCGTATTGGTGACTGTCTGTTGAGATTTCAAGGCAATTCCCCACCACAAAGACCGGCTCACAGAACTCAAACCTGTGGAAGAAAAAAAAAGAAGCATAAATCGAGATAGCGGTGGAAAGTGTGTTTATCATTCTGTCAGTCTCATTACCACAATCACAGGTTGCAAGTAAAACCACACAATCATATTTTGCAGCCCTGAAGTTTCCTAAACATCACATAAAAGTGTTGGATAAGAGGTGTTATGAATCATCATGCAGCTGAAATGGACAAAGACCTAGAAAACGAAGACTCAATCCATTTGTAAATAGAGCTGGTAATCATCTGGAGGCTTCGCTGTGAGTCTGGGTGCTTGTGACCTTTCAGGCAATAAAGTGAAAAATAAAAACATCCAAAAAACAAAGAGGTGGTGATGGAGAAGTTGAACTGCAGGGACTCTGGTTTTTGTTGACAGACACCAATTCAACAAAATTATATTACATTTTCTGCAGACATCTCATATTTAGCTTCGTGAGATCCAAAAACTATTGAAATCTGTTTGGTTACAATAAACAAATCAAGTCAATGTAACATTAATGAAGCTGATGTGCTGCTGTAATGGTTTTATTTAGTATTAAACAGTTACTTTTACTTACAGACAGACAGACAGACCGACAGAAGAAGAAGAAAATATCATTTCAATAGCGCCTCTCAAGATAAAAATCACGAGGCGCTTCACAAAAACAAAAACAAAAAATATAAAAAATGTAAAAATATAAAAAAGCATTTCAAAAATGTTTAAAAATATATTTAAAATGAGCAAGAATAAGCAATTGCGATTTAAAAGAAAAAATGTTAAGAAAGAGAGAGAGTGAATAGGAAAGAGGGAAATCAGTGGATCCTGAGGAAGGTGGAATAGGTGGGGAGAGCGGAATAAAGAGAGAGTGGTGAAGAAGGTCATCCAAAAGATAGCTTGAACAAGTGAGTCTTCAGCTGCTTTTTAAAGGAGACCATTGAGTCCACTGATCTCAGGCTCAGGGGGAGAGAGTTCCAGAGTATGGGGGCCACAGCAGCAAATGACCTGTCACCTTTGGTCTTTAGCCTGGTGCTGCACAACCAGTAGGCTTTGATCACTGGACCTCAGGGACCTGCTGGGGGTGTAGGGACTAAGAAGATCACCAATGTAAGATGGTGCTTGTCCATGTAGGGCCCTATAGACCAGAACCAGGATCTTGAAATGAACCCTGAAGTTGACTGGCAGCCAGTGAAGCTGGAGGAGAAGCGGGGTGATGTGGGTGTGTTTGGAGGACTTGGTCAGAAGCCGAGCACAGGCATTCTGAACCACCTGTAGACGGTTCAGGGAGGTTCTGCTCAGACACGTGAAAAGAGAGTTACAGTCGTCTAAGCGTGAGGAGATGAAGGAGTGGATAACTGTCTCAAGTTCACAGCGAGACAGAATGGGACTCAGCTTAGCAATGTTCCTGAGATGGAAGAAGGATGAGCGAACAAGAGAACTGACATGAGAATCCAGGGTGAGAGCTGGGTCAAAGGTCACGCCAAGATTCCTGATGGAAGGTTTCGTGTGGGAAGCAAGCTGACCAAGAGAGTCTCTGACTTTGGGAACCAGCTTGTCTGGGGCACAGATGAGGATCTCAGTCTTTATCTTCATTCAGCTGAAGAAAGCTCCCAGCCATCCAGGCTTTGATAGAGTCTAAGCAGGTGTGTAGCAGCTGCAGCTTAGACATCCCATGGGGCTTAAAGAAGATGTACAGTTGGATGTCATCTGCATAAAGATGGTAAGAGATTCCTTTGAAGGAGCTCAGGATGTGCTGAAGAGGAAGCAGATAGAGGAGGAAGAGTAGAGGCCCCAGCACAGAACCTTGTGGGACACCATGGGTGAGAGGTGGTGGAGGACCTAAACTTGGAGACGGCCACAGAAAAGGAGCGCTCAGAGAGATAAGAGGAAAACCACTCCAGAGCAGATCCTGATAGGCCTACCCAGTCTCTCAGCCTCTCCAGTAGCAGGTGATGGTCAACAGTGTCAAAGGCTGCAGTCAGGTCCAGCAGGACCAGAACAGAACAGTCCCCTGCATCACTGTGAGTCAGAAGGTCATTAGAGACCCTAAGAAGAGCTGTTTCAGTAGAATGAGCTCTACGAAAATCTGACTGGAAGCTATCATAGATGTTATGTTCATCAAGAGCAGCTGTGAGTTGTTTAGCCACAACCTTTTCTAAGATCTTGGAGATGAACGGAAGTTTAGAGATGGGTCTGAAGCTGCTATGGAGAGAGGGGTCGAGACTCGGTTTTTTAAGAAGCGGGTGGATTACAGCGTTCTTAAAGTAAGCAGGGACCTGACCAGAAACCAGAGAAGCATTAAATATCGAAAGCACGCTGGGACCGATGGACTGAAAAGCACTTTTAAACAAAGATGAGGGTAAGATGTGGAGGGGGCATGCAGAGGTCTTCATAGAGTTAACTAGTTTGGTTAACTCAGGCAAAGAAACAGGAGCAAAGCTATCTAGGATGATGGGCCTGGTTGGAGTCAGGAGAGGCTGAAGGAGAGATGCTAGATCTAACCTTATTGACTTTGTCCACAAAGAAAGACAGAAAGTTCTCACAGTCTGCAACAGAGTGGATGGAGGCTGTAGGAGAGGCAGGAGAGACTATGCTGCTGATGGTGTTAAACAGCACCTTGGGGTTCCCTTTGCTCTGGAACACCAGGTTGGAAAAATAGGAAACCGTAGCGTCTCTGACTGCAGAGTTAAAGGATGTCAGAAGATCCTTTAGGTGCAGCAGATGGACGTGGATATGGGTTTTCTTCCACATACGCTCAATTTTTCTGCATTGGCGCTTCAGGCTGCGAAGGCTGTCATTAAACCAGGGAGTAGGGTCCACTGCAGGAACTGATCTGGTTCTGACAGGACAGATGTTGTCCAGAATGGAGAGGCAGTTCTCGTTAAACTGAGAAGTTAAGGAATCTGGGTCATTGTCAGAAGAACAGGGTGGATAAAAAGCAGCAGAAAAATTGCTAGCTGTGCTCTCATTAAGAAAACGAGAACTAACCATATGGCCAGCAGGAGGTGGGGACGCAGAAACTGACAAGTTAAAGATAATGCAGTGGTGAACTGAAATATAAACGTCCTCAGGACAAACACTGTCAGCATTTAGACTCAGGGTAAAAACAAGGTCCAGAGTGTGTCCCCTGGTGTGTGTGGGGCCAGAAACATGCTGGGTAAAGCCAAAGGTGTCCATGAGGCTGGAGAAATACATGGCAAAGTGATCAGAGGGATCATCAACGTGGATGTTAAAATCACCAACAATCACCAGTCTGGACAGCTCCACAGTGGATGATAGAAAGTCACTAAACTCCTAAAGGAAAGTACTGTTTGGACCAGGTGGACGATAGACCACAGCGCAGTAGAACGGGTCCTTACGCCCGACTTTAATCAGCTGCAGTTCAAAGGAAGCAAAGTGACCGTCAGTCAGACCGACCGACAGACAGACAGACAGACAGACAGACCGACAGACTGGACAGGTAGATAGGTAGGTATAGAAATAAAGAATGAAATCTAGTCCTTTTATATTCTTTACGCAGATTAATTGCCAAAGTTGGTTTAGAATAATAATAAAAAAGAACTTATTTGAATATACTTAATTTAGCTTTATGTATTATTTTATTTAAAACTCAAAAGCTAATACTGTGGCAACTAAACCTTTCATTTTATAAATATACTGTCTGGCACAGGGGTCTGCAAACTGCAGATGCAGTTCTTCGGTCTTTGCAGAGGAGATTAGTGCTGACCAGACATGGAAATTAATTATATCTAATTTCACAACTGCATTATAAACCTGGTTTTAGCTGTTTTCTGCTTTATTTTACACAATTATGTGATTGAAATCTCCGTAAAAGAACGATGGTAATAACACAAAGAGCAGTTTCCCCTGATAGTTTGTGTTCACTGATAATTTATAATGACAAGGTAATGTTTTCAAGGCATGAAATTTAATTTTATAGAATAGAAAAGGATTCACAGAAATGCATATTTAAAGGTGTGGGACACTTGTTTAATCTATACATTTGCAGTGGACTTTAGTAGGAATGAATGCCTTGCAAGTCTCACTCAGGGGCAAAAAAGCTCAGATGCGCTTGTTTCAGAATGCCACATTAGAGTTAGGCTTAAGAGAAGAGAGAGAGCATGCGCAGAGAGAGAGAGCATGCGCATGCGCTGACGGCCCGATCACCGGACACATGGTGGTGTTTGAAGCAGATGGCAGCTTGTTAATCAACTTCCACAAACAATTAAGACGCAGTTTTCGCCTAATTTATTCACTGACAACGCAAAAAAAATAAATAAATCTGGTAAATATAACTCACTCAACCTGGAGGTAAGTGGAGAAAATTTAGAAAGTTTGCAAATATATATTGACGAGGTTTTTGAGTCTTTTGTCATGGGACCGAAGAAAGCAGCAGCAGCTGAGACGGAAACACCTGGGACCAAGAGGAGCCGTCCCCAGGACTCGCCCGAGGCCTCATCTCCCCATAAGGATGTCTTAGATTTACTACAGTCCATATACGGCTTCTGGGATTTGAGGGGCGACTCCACCTGCTAGAGTTGCTTCACAACGAGTTCCAGGACCTCCTAACATCTCTGGAGTTTAGCCAGGAGCAGGTGGAGCGGCTCGCGGCTGAAAACATGTCTCTGCGGGAATCGGTTTCCTCCTTGACTGCAGGATTGGATCGGATCTCCCAGGACAACAAAGCTCTAAAGGAGACGGTTTTGGATCTCCAATCACGCAACATGAGAGATAACCTGGTGTTCGCAGGTCTTCCAGAGCAGACCGGAGGAGAAGCGGAGGATTGCGAACAAACCATCAAAAACTTTCTCCACACCCACATGAAGATACCTGAGGAAACGGTTAAAAACATCACCTTTCATCAGGTACATCTCCTTAGAGCCAGGAGAACAGACAGCAGAAGACCTCGTCCCATTGTGGCTAAATTTGAGCACTTTTAAGCTGAAAGATCTTGTTAAAAGCCGCAGGAGAGAGCTTAAAAGGTAAAGACTACAGCGTAATCGATCAGTTTCCTAAAGAA